ACTAGGTCATGAAATGAGATTTGGTTAGGAGTGAAACGTGCAAGCGCATACAAACCCTTTTTGAGGGCGCCTGCGGCTGTCTAAATATTGATTTACATAACCGAAAAGTCACTCCTGCATTTTCACTTCATTTCCATAAGTTCTATAGCACGAGGACAAAGACAGCCATTGTTTTTAAGTAAAAAGGAATTTTGAACCGAAGTGGTAGTCGCTCTAAAGTAAGATTTCCTTTTGTTTGGAGTTCAGTTTATTAAGAATCTGTCAGAAAAGACAATTACAGCAAGCTGAACAGGAAGAATCTTTACCCGGCCATTTTCAGGACGAATATAGCAAATTCACCGCATGAAGCGTATTTTATCACTGAAAACGATAGACAATTGGGATTGGGAAGTTTTAAGGGATTGAAAGCTTTTGACTCAAGGACGTGATCCATTACAAGCTTTTCCGTTTGTTGAGTTCCCACGTGTGACGTACTTTCGCGGTTAATTATTTTTTATATTTGTTTTATCCGTAGAATGTTGGCGCTATTATGAGCCAAGTTACAAAACCGAGAAGTAATATTGTTGTATAATATATTTTAGGTCACAGGAAGTTGACAGAATATTTCAATAAAACATGTTGTGATACTTTTAGAATGACTTTCGGCGGTATCGCTGGGATTCACGTTCAAGTTAACTTCAAAAGAGGATCTAGACAGTTGGAGCAAAGGCATAGATAGACAAATAAAACCGAAAAATCGTAGAACGAATTGAAAAGTCTTTGTGATAATGGTGTGGACTGCAGCTTGCATCAAACAAAACGGACGTTGGACGGGCTAACAACGGTACGTGCGTACACAATATAAGATAATCATTTACTCTTGAGGGCATAATAGCTGCATGCAGAATCCTAGAATTGAAAAACAAACCATAAAAAAATGATGACGACAGTGTCCATGCACTAGACAATGAAAGTTGATAGAAAAGAGGACTTAGCGGAAACTGCGACATTAAATAAAAAATCAGCTGCTGTTCAGAGCAGAATTCTGTCGCCGAAAATGTTTTTGGAAGGTTATTTTTAGCAAGCATTTCTAGCAAGACACGAGACACAATATCACGACGAGTATTTATCTATGGTGATCCAAGATGTTATCTACAAGTGCTTTTTACTTTTATCTTCACCAAATTCTCCACCTTTTGCGTTCGTTATAATGTCTTGTGGAACAGTATTTGGAGAGAGTCCTGTCAGATAAACCTTTGCACTCGCGGAACAATCATTTTGCCCTGTTGAACACGCACACATCAGTTAAGGTGAAACTCCACGTAAGATTGCATCAATTACGCAGAAAAAGAAGATCAGTAGAGAGAAGCGCTATTATATATGCCCTTGCTCGTGAAAATGTAATAAAGCACGAAACAGGAACAATTCTGCCTTTGAGCGCAAGCACAATCATTTAAGGTGAAAATCCATGCAAGATTGCATCTAAATACCCATAATGATTTATTACTGAACTCAAATTTTTAAAACAAAACAGTAAATAGAAATTACCAGTATATTTTAACGCGAACTAAGTATTTGCTCAAAAGTTTAATTTACTCGAAAGTTTTATTTTAAATGGTCGAATTAGGTTTGTCAGCTGACCAGTGAAAAAACACTGTCTGCAATATTGCCTTTCACTGACAGATGCTAAAAAATAGGAGGAAAGATGGATCAGCTATCAAAAATGGAAGTATTCGTCTTTATTCCCTCAAAAGAGTCCCTTTTTTTAACCCAGATATCATGTAATATAACGACTTGCAGACTCGCCCACGGAAGCTTTTATAGAATCACTTCTTTCCGTCCTTTCCAATAAGATTTATATTCTGTTGAAGTGATCGATTTCGTCACTAAGATCAATGATAAAAGTTGACTGATAATAAAGATGAAAATTACCGGAAAATAGCCCAGAAGATACTTGAATAAAATAAATTTTTAATAATCATGATCCTTTTTACATAATGAATCATTTTTTCGTGGTATATGGACATGACGTTGGCAGGTATGTCAACAACCTGAAGCTAGTTCTGAGCAAAACCATTAACAGGAGACATCAGACTTAGATGACTTAACAAATTACAACTTTTTCAGGTGGTCATGTGGCCAAGGAAAACACATACTAAACTCATTTCAATCCTTGGCGCTGACCGAAAGGAGCGCAGCTCCATAAGCGTAAATACAAGGAATAAGCGCTTTATTACAGGTGCCTCCGCTTTACCTAGGGGAGGGGACACGGGAGAGTCTTGAAGTAAGGCGCTAGATCATTTCCTATCTCATTTGACAGTAGCTTGGTTTTAAGCAATTTTAGGGTAATTCTGACGATTGATTTAGTCAAGCTTACAAAATTCGTAAAATTGACACTTTAGTTGGTCTGTCTCCGCTTTAATCAATTTTAATTTTCGAAAAACTATTATGGACAATATTTTTAATAGAGTTAAACTAAAGACAACTATAAATGTCTGTTTTTCTACTGACCAATGAATCGGAAATAACTTCAAACATTTCATTTTTGCTTGTCACTAACGACAAGATAGCCATGGAACAATTAATTTCCGTACACTTTGTTTCGCACCTTTAAAGCTAGAATAATGTTGCGTCTATTATGTTGTATTAACGTAGCGTTAGCTGTTATAAGCGCGAGTCTTCATATAGGGTATCATTGTTAACACAGGGCGCGTTCCTTTCGGTACTAAACTGCTTTTTTCCATTGAGTTGCCTCCTGTTGCTATACGATTGCAGTGTGATCGCTGAACTGGGCGATTTGCATGTAAATAAAACTTTAAATTCACGGCGAATATCAGAGTTAAATGTATAGTAGATCACAGGATTTATTGCTCCATTACAAAGCATTAAGAAAGCTGAAATTATGCTGTAGTACGAACCAAGTTTTTTGTAGAAGTTGAAGTGAAGAGAAAGCTGATAAATCCAAAATGGAATAAAGGAAATGTAAAATACAAAAACTAAAGTCGCCAGTAACTTCAAAGCTTTATGTTTCTTGGCTGGTTTCTTTCCCTTAACGTCGTAAAGTTGAATCCCCGGTACTTTCCGAAGCCATATCTTCATCAGAATGGCAGAATAAAGAACCAGTGTGACGACAAATCCGGCTGCTAATAGCACAGTTTGAAAAATAAACCAGCGGATAACTTTTTCGCAGCTGAGGCAGGCAGTACATGTTACCTTTCCATCGGGATCTTCATTGTCTTTCTCAAGGTACGCAAATGAAAATAATGGTGCACAATAACTACCGCTGACAAGCCAAGTAGATAAGATTATAAAATATGCCCGTTTCGTGGAAATTAATGCCTTCAATGGGAAAAATATCGCCAAAAACTTCTCCACGGCGGTAGCTAAAATGGTCAGATTCGAGGTCAGAATTAAGAGCGCTGAGAAGAACATATCAAGCTGGCAGAGATAATTTCCAGAACGGCCACGAATTTGCCATGCTCCGTCCAGTATCAAGTGAGTGTAGATTATTGGGATATTTTCTATCGAAAACAACAAGTCGGCTAGGGACAAGTTCATTATGAAAAGATGATGGACTCTTCTTCGCGACTTGCTCCCAATTCGTCTAAATACCCTGATGACGACTGCATTTCCAACCAGAGAGAGAAAAGCTGTAAGGTAATATGCGGATACTAGGAAAAACCTCCCAGTTGCAAGCCCTGTAATCTGTGAATCTTCATTTGGCTCAGACAATGCAGTGGAGCAATCGCTCAAATTTGTTGCGTTCTCGAGAATCATTTTGCATTGCACTATTTTACACGACGCTTCTGCTCATAGGCGTCAGCTTTCAGATGTTTAAACAAAGGACACGTACATGCCTAATTTAAGCGAACTTTTTAAAAAAAAGCCATTAACGTTAATTTCATCTCGAGAGTCAATTGGTTGTCTTTTGGTTGCACAAAATTCGCTTTTTGCAACATTGGAATAATTTTTTTGTGTCGCTCCCTAATTCAAATCATATTTCAGTTTTCATTGCATATGAATATTTTCATTACAAAATCGTTACTCACATTAAAACAAACAAACTGGCATCATTGGTAATGGCCGCATTTCATTAAAACGTTTTCTAATGTTCACCACTACCTCCCAAGCTCTCGATCTCTCTCCGAGCAAACTACTCAAACTAAATAATTGAAAATTTAAACCAAAAAACCGTCATGGACATGTCAATTTATTTAACGAGCAAATGCCAGACCCGTTTTCAAATAAAGTGTAAGAGACCAGAATAACACCCGCAGAAAACTTTTTATTGTCGTTAGTATTTGTACGGAGATATCAATATCATCTTTTTGATCGCAGGTGACTGCCTTTTAGAACGAAAACGTAGACATTTTAAACGACTTCTGTTATCAATAGATGCAACTTGATAAGTCTGACATGTACAATCACGGGTCTTACTATGCAATAAACCACATCCACGACTCTAGGAGGATTGTCACTACTCGTACCTGATGAAATATTTAGATGGTGTGTAATAAATTTCTCAAGTAAGTTCAGTGTTTGTCATTTTTTTTTCTTCCATATCATATATTTTCGATCAGTCGTTGGTATTCAAACTTTTCTGGCTTACATTTAAAAAATTTTAAAGATTGTAGTAGATAAACAGGTCATTTACATGCAGCAAACGAAAAAACGATTGAATAATTCTCGTTAAGTATGGAGTCCATTTGGCAATGTTTTGTAATGGCCCCACCTAAAATGGCTAAGACGTCCCTTGACGACTTCTCTTGACAGTTTATGTGTGAAGTTACGATGATTTTTCATAAGGAAACGGAGACATTCTCACGGCAAATCTGGTAAGAAGTGTAAGGTGAATTTTGATAATCATAATGCTGAGAGTGACTCCTCGTCGACAGTTGTTGATGACAAGCCAAGTTCTTTGCCGATTCATATGTTTAATTGGTTTTCATAGAGAAGTTTTCTTGTTCATACACGTCGAAGTTCCAGCGTGAGTAAGGATTCCTCGCTCCCTGCTTCTGAATTTACAACTGAGTCGAGGATCTCAGTCCATCATTTCCATCATCTGTGCTTTTTTTCCTTGCAGCAGCCTCAGTTTCAACAGAGTAAGCAAGACTCCTAGAGCATTTGCAATGAGACAGAGCAGCCTTGATCCCATCACGAAAGCTCTCATTGAAAATGAGGTAAATAATTGGATTAATGGCACCGTTCGAGAAGTATAACAAAAATGCAATAAACCGGATGTGGTTTATTTTTAACAATTCGTAGAAACCAAGGACCAAAGACACATGTAAACTCAGAATTGGCAAGGAACAGATGTAAAACACGACAATCAAAGTAATGAGCATCTTAAAAATATCGCGATTTCTTTTCAATCTGCGCTCGCGATTTTTTTGACTTGCATTGCCAGGAAATTTTCGACCCGAAAGCTTGAAACCAATGGCTGTATACAACGCCAGGATGGTGGCGAGAGTTGTGGCTAAAATTCCCGCCAAAACCATGTACCACGTTTTCAGAATCCTTCTATCTGTGAGATTACACGAGGTGACACCGTTTCTAATTATTAAGTCACCGTAGTACAGTAGGGGTGAAGCGAAAAGCGTGGGTATTAACCATGTCACAAATATGATCATAAAACAGATTCTTCGGGTAATGATCTTCTTGAGCGGAACGTACACTGCAAACACTCGATCCACGGCAATGGCTAAGATAGTAAGATTTCCAGTAACTATAGTTATAAGAGAAAAGAACATGTCGATCTTGCATAATGCAATTCCAACCCATCCTTGAAGATTCCATCGTTCTTTCAGTAAATAATTGTTATAAGCATGGGGTATGTTCTGTAAAGCGAACAGAACGTCGGCCACTGACATGTTTGCGATGAAAAAGGTATTAGCTGTTCTCATACGGTTTTGATGGTTCTTCTTAAGAATCACTAGCACCAACATGTTTTCAATTAAGGACATGACGAGAACAAACATGCAAATTGTTGCCTTTGTGAGTCTGAACTCAAAGCTTTCTCCCTGAGAGCCTCCAGTTGAGGAGTTAGTGCTGTTTTCCATTCCGATGTAAGAGTCAAAATGAAATATTTCGTTCCTACCGTTCAGATCTGCGTTTCTTGTTTAATTCTCGGAACAAAGTTGTAGATGTTGTCTTTACGAGGTTTGTCGTCTTTGAAATTAAAATCGCTTACCAACAATTTTAAAAACTGCATACATCAACTTTGGCGTCAAATGGAACACCAAAGCAAATATCGATTCTGATGTTAATGTCATGTTAATTTTTGAATAAATTCAAATAAATTGCTTATCATGTGGGAGGATTGTGCTGATAGCTAGTAAAAGATGGCCTCAAAAGTCTTACAATGATAAACGTTTCGATAAAAAGTTTTATTTGTGGTGAGTACAACAGCCACTCCAGAAAAGAAATGAGGTCTACGGGCACTAAACACTTTAGATATGATTTTGTTTGCGAAAACGCTACAGTCGCCAAGGTGGCACATTCTTAAATTAATTTTTATTATTTGGGAAATATATTGTTTCAGCTGTCATAAGTACACCAGCAATATTCTGAGCCAACACATAATTCATTAGTCTTAATGAAAAATATTGAAATGACCAATTTTATGTGCTCAGTAAAAAAACAAAGGTATAGTCACAGGACATTAATAAAAAAAGATGGAAAACTTAAAGATGAAGAGGCAATATTAAGTACTAAAGGAAGGTGGCTTAAAAGGACAAAAAATAGGAACGGATAAGCAATTTTTAATGGCAGTTTTGATCACTAAATTAGCTCATTTTAAGTTTTTCTAGAATATTGCAAAATTCCAAGACAAAACTTCACCAATATAAAATGGGCCCTTTCGTAGTTCCATGTTTGCAGATACTTTCTCATAAAGGTGCAACAATGAAAATTATTGATAAAAAAATAGTAATCATTTATATTGATGTCGAGGTAATTTACTTTTTATTCTCCTCACTAATGCAAAAAATATGAGCGGAAGCCTGCTTAATCTAAGTCTGTCTCCACAAAAACTACATCATTGTGATCTCCTTTTCCTGATAGTCAATTACCGCACATTTTAATTGGCGTATTCCATAATTCAACAAGAAAGAAAATTAGTTTGTAGTTGCAAACAAATTTATATTTGTATGTTTCAGCCTCTCTAAGCTCTCTAAAGGCAAAATAATAGTCTTTTTAAAGCAACGCTTGGACATAAACGAAAATGCAAAGTCAGTTATTTCGTTTGAAAAGCACCGTTTGAACGAAATTGAACTGGCTATTTCTAGGCCCGAAGATCGACAGTTTGACACCTCATGTCAAACTGCCAAAGTAAACAATCTGGTCAAAAGCTTGTCTACATTAGATTTTGCAATTTGTTTGATTGATAATGTTTTTAAGGAAATTGGTGGATGTCTCAGATGAATATGCACGACAAACTGTACTGTAAATATGAATTATTTTTAAAGATTTTACAGGACAGTTACAAGATACTTCCTATTGTCAAATTCGTAGATAAAATTATTTTATGCTTCAATTTCTGACCAAATTTAATCTGGTAAAGTATTTTACATGTCATCACGCCGTGGAACAGTCTGTTTTGTCTTTATTCTAGTTGTTATAGAATGCGTCGTAAGTGTACTTAAGGCATCAGTCATCCACATAGCTTTGTTGTTATCGGCAGAGCGGAGACCGACTGTTTGGAGAAGCTATGGAGCACTACTTCTGTATGCCTAGAAAGTTTTATACACCCTAAAGGTTCTAGGAGAGATTGCTGTAAGTTTTTGTCAATGGCGACTGAACCCTTAGCCGTGGGCTTAGCTCAGTCCGTGATAGATTGTGTTGCTTAGAAGTCACTCTGCTGTAACGATTACCCTATGAAGTAAGGTTACATAAATAAATGGCCATATAAGATACCTTTACAACGTATTTTTCCGTAGGTGAAATTATACCCTAACAATGGTCCAGTATAGGTCCAACATCGTTGGACTGTGATGCACCAACGAGAATTTAAGGTGGCAGGATTTAACAATGTTATGCTAAGTGTGCCCGATTCAAAAGGAATTTGTCTCACCGCGCAAAGCGAAAAGGGACTTGCTTGGAGTTCACTTTATACAGTGGTGTGCATGTAATGCCAGACATAGGGTCAGCAGAAACAATATGAAACCTACGACGTTATGTAGAGGCCATGAACAAGTTTCTCATTTCCATTACAGTTTCTACGATACGACTGTTATGGACACTCCCAAGAGGCTACTAAGTTCCATACTCCTGATCTGATCTTCATGTGTAAACCTTTCGCTGATGCTGAAACGAAAGGCAAAAATAATAACACTAAAACTAAAAGCCAGTGATACCGTGATTGCAAAGGCAAGAGATACATGCCTGCTTTGAACACTCTGTTTCATAAAATGATAGAAGGAGAGTAACAAAACAAAAGAAAAATTCAAGCAGCTTGTAGACTGCAACTACTATAAAATATTCTGATTTCTAAGGAAAGAGGTCATTAGGGGTGTTGCTATTCTCCAGGGTAAAATGCTGTACATAGCTCATCGCAGCTAGTTACCCTCAAATACTTGTAACATTTCCCAGACATATCAACCCATAAGTACTCCTTGGTGCAGACAATCAACACTGGAGTCAAGACTTTCCCTAAGATACGAAATCTGATATTTAATCCCGATTACATTGCACTATCCTATAAGACACCCAGTCGCCATTGACAATAACAATGAAATATCATACTTTACCTCCATATGAGACTGTTCCATCAGTTTTCGTAGCAATGTAATTGCTTTCGGGCAGATCAGACTTGAGCCTTTCAGGAACTGAAATAGCAGGTACGAAATCCCTAGAAGACGATTCCCGTTTCCATTTCTCAGGCAAAATGCAACTCCAAGTAACGCCATCCCTACTGACTGCGTGACATCGACTATCTGTTCCCAAGCCAAAAATCCTTTTGAACGATCCACGAACAGTCATCCCAAAAATCATTTTCACTCGCGGATCTAGCCCTATGGGTAAAAAGATGCCAGTCTTTGCTTCATAGCGGCATTGAAATAAAATACATTGGACAACTTTAACGAGAAAGCATTACTTATACATACCAATCCATTGAACACCATCATTTGAAAAGTAACAGGAAGGTTTCAAATCACTATAGAAGAGGACGACAATAAAGTAAAGATTACAAACCGCAAAAATTACGAAATCAGTGGATTACTAACGCCGATCACTTACAATGCTTATGTTTTTTTAGGTGAACATTCCTCTGTTTTAGCGGTTAATTGTTGACTCGTCGTTATTCGTCTCTACCGCCAGGGGCAGTACGAGAGCGCTATCCTTTTTAACTGTAATTTTACGAAGATCTCATATAATTTTAACTACTAAGCAAGAAATCATGCTCTCTTGCAAATAATTTAATGACCTTTTCTTCTCTTGGCAGAGGTATACTTCGTCAAACAATGGATTCAACAGAAATCCTCTCTGAGCATCTAACAAGATATAGAAAAATATTCTTTAAGATCTACCAAACATAATTTTACAAATCTAACAACTCACTACTTTCTTTCAAATATTCGAATTCGTTACTACCATATCTATTACTGACAAAATTGAAATCTTTAAGTTAGCTTCGCATATCATTCCCTGAAAATTTCAATAATTGATTTTTGAGGTTAAATCGAGGTCCAAATTCTCTCGTTGTCCGCCATATTTAATTACCTTCTCTCACTGTAAAGTTAAGCGTTACGGACTCTATTGAGCCCACGAACAACTTGGCAGCATTACTTGCCATGCGTTGTTCATACAGAATGAAGCTTGGTACAGACAGGAAGTATTTTCCAACAGAAAGCACACGTTTAGGATCAATTTGGACCGTGATGTTAATTTGCTTTGATGACCCGGGCTGAATTTCTCCAATCTAACAAACATAAAAAATTACAAAAGTAGGATTGAGTTAAAAATGTCATTTGCATTTGATTGTCTTATGGCGTCTGCGCGCCTCGCTTGAATAACAATTCATGACGATACCATTAACCTAGAGAAAGATAACTGAAAACTATTGGCGAAGCTGTTAGCCGTAAGAAACCACTATTGGCTTTGATTAAATAAGCATTGTATAGGCTTTCCTTATGCAGTACAGTCGTGTGAGGCAAATGCCCCGAGCTGAATTGAACATCTGCCGAAAGTTAACGACTCTTCTTCTTCTCACTGAGACGGTAATGACTTAAGTCTCAGAACTTCAGTCAATTGGCTTTTTAAAAGGCACTGCGTGCTGGAAAAGACGTTGTCTTGCAAAAACGCTTTCAGTTAGCCCTAAGCTTTCGAACTTTTTATTAATCAACGGACAATTGAGAGGTTACCTCCTTGGCATGCAACAAAACTATGAATCGAACAGCAGGAAATGAAGCCTAAGGTAAATGAGCCTTACGTATTTTTTTCATGGGCTCACCTTAAAATTATACTCTCCAGGGTAAGGACTAGACACATTTGTCAAAGGCACGTGATTCAGCATACTCGCGTAGTAAGGAAGAGTCCAAACCAATATTGTATTAAAGGCAGTGTCACGCGACCACAAGTCGTGCGATAAAATTACTGTAAAAGTTACTGAATCACTATAAAAGGATGTAAGCACAGAAATTAATAACTCATGATGAAGAAAACTTAATAAGTTGTTGGTTGCAGGAAAACGATGTAATCTGTGAGCAAAAAATTAGTTCAGTTCTCACTCACTTTTGAAACAAATTGTTGGCATCGTATGTTGATACGGTCTGGTGTACTGTAGGTCTCCTTGCTGCAAAAAGAAAATTAATGCTTAATTTCACGGTTTAAAGAGTTTACAAATAAACCTTAAACTTTAAACTCCTGGGATCTTTTTCCCCTAATTCTCGGTCAACAGCAATTTATGGCTGCCGATTTTACTCCTTCTTCCTTTCTTTGCACCCGATTTTTTCGCCGTGCTTCTCGCAAGGCCTTGAGCTGGGACTTATGGCCTGTAGGTAGGGCCCTTTATGCACCATCACCCCCGGCTTTTACACGGGAATGCTTTCTTTTTTCAATTCTTTTCAATGAAATCGCGCGCGGAGCCGTATGGGTCATGTGAAAATCCTCGTGAACACCCACCTCTCACCAGGACCTCCACAACACGAGAGTCACTCCCAGCGACGTTTGACGCATTACAAGCATAGAGTCCTGCATCGGACTGTTTGATCGAGGAGAGCTCAAGACTTGTATCATTATGGACCAGTTTACTGTCTTTGTACCAGCGGACTGCTGGTGAAGGATAGCCGCGCGCGGAGCATTGAAGTGTCAAGGAATCTCCTGTGACAACTTCAAATAGAAAACTGGAGACGTTGATGATGGTGGGTGGTTCTGAGAAACGAATGAAATTTTATGTCGCAATAACTTGTCAATGGATTCCTTCTACAAGGGTTGCAAAAGCATTATTACAGTACATGTATTCCCCTCCTCAGGGAAAAAAGCACAAAACCCTTTAAGATCATAACCTCTCCTTTCCGTCGCTTCATAATTATCCTCACGAAGCAATGAGTTACTTTAATTTAATCTCATTTCCGAGTGTCGTCGTCTTGAACTAAATCTTTTCCGCATTGTTCTCATGCAATTTACACACCACCCTATAATACACTGTCACATGACTTTCTGTCACCAAACAAGTATTTTCATCGAAAAATAACTGGATACAACTATGAACTGCAATGTTACCGTCAAAACTCCTCATAAGTCTGTCGTCAACCAACCTGTAACTAAAACTGTACCAAGCGATAGGCCGGTGTTTGATTTTCGGCTTAGTACACAGCTAAAATCCAGTATTTCTTCCATCTGAAAATAAATATTCTGGTAGATCATGATGGACGGCATTTAAAATACATAAAATAGTCTCGAGCAAAAAAATTTGGTCCAGCAAAATGGGCGTCTGACCACTGGCCTTTGCCACGTGCTGATCACGCACTTTCACTTTCAGTAACATTTATTCCGCGAGGAAACATTTGTTTAAAATGCATCGCTGGTGGGATGTAAATAAATCTATTCAACGCCACATGATCACCAATAAAATGCAACCAATCATAATTTAACGAGGAGTAAGGTAAACTGCAGATCAGAAATGGCAGAATCTGTTTCCCGCTCGTCGCCCCTCCAGACAATTCAAAAAGGAAATCACCTTTAGAACAATAGTACTCTCGGGCATTTTCGTTTCCGACAAATTTAATGTCTATGGAAAGATTTGGATTATCCACAACAGTGCCCCACAAAATCAAAGCAGAGGCCTGTCCTTTTTAGGTTCATTTATCACCTAGTTCAACCTGGATGTTCTTGACGACTCCAATTGCTTTTTTTTTTCTATTTCCCTTACATGTTAGCGGGGTCATATTGTATTAAGCTAAAATTACCTTAATTTCATAGGTACCACCAGAATTGGGAGCAGTAAATGGCTGAGAGAAATGTTTTTCCTGACAGTCCAGCTGCGCTTTTCCAAAGGACGCAAGACAGATGCTTTTGTTGAAGAGATTCAGATACACTTGTCGTACGCAGGACGGACAATAGAACGAAGGTGTAAGACAATATTTGTAATAACCTGTGAAAATTAATATTAGTATTATCAGGTTTTGACTGCAAAGTTTCAATCGAGTTTAAATGCGAGCTCAAGCTTGTTACTAAAGGAAAAAAATTCTTCGCTATTTTAGCACAAACCAAAGAGCATTTTTTCGCTTGTGAAAACTCTTTTAACGTCGTTTTCACCTGCCAGTAGGATCCTTTTTCCGTCATTATACTCTCTTCAGCCTGCATCGTCAGAACTCTGCAGTCATGCACGTACAAAACGCATTTTTTTGTATACACACTGTCCCCTCTATGTTATTAATAAATAGTTTGTGTTTTTAACTGAATATATCAAGATCTAATGTGAAAGCGCATGGGAAATTTGGAGAGCATTAAACAAGCCGACAGCGTCTTGGACAACTTTAACCCTTCTCTTGCGTTTCCCAAACTTCTCAGGTGCATCAACAAGGTTAGAAATGAACTTATTCAAAGATTTGAAAGTCTTGAAAACCTGATGACCCTCTTATGCCAGATTGATGGGAAAAAAAACCGACGTACCTTTAATTGTAATCAACTCTCCGCGCTGTGCTTGAAGAAAAGTTGTACCTGTTAATGCAAATTCCTTATCGCACGTCCCTGTGAACGAAGGAGTAGTCACTATGCATTAATCTCAGATGAATCCTATATGCATTTCATTGAAAAAAATCTTGTTTCCTTTCGTATTTTGTGGCGAGTATCTTTTGCAAGATTGAACCAAACCTAAACAATGGATCTTTTTGTATTTTTTCGAATGTCTTTTTGAGTCTGGATGTTAAGCCAAAAATAATTTCAACTTTTAATCAGTTTATTAGCCCAAATGACAGCCTCTCCTTTAATAAAGTACTTCGTTAAGAGATATCTTCAATTCTACGTTAGCACAGTGGCCAAATCAGTTACGAATGCACATCTATTGTTCCGATAAATAAAAATGTACCGTCCTCGCTGTGAAACTCTATAAATTATGTTTTTTTCCAGATGGCATTTTGAATTGTCTCATCTGCTCCTCTAATGAAAAGTCAATAAACAGACACAGGAACATTTTGCACGTATTCAAGCTTATGCTAGGAAAAGAGACGTGGAATAAGAGACGTGACGCAAAAGAGACGTGGAATATGAAAATTCGTTTTCCTTTGACAAAAATAGGCAGTTTCATTAGACAGCTCTGTGTAGGAAAACTATGAAAGCATTAAGATGCGATTTCTAATCATTTCTAAATTCATTCAAACGGCAATCTAACCGCTTACCTTGTACTACGAACAGCAGAATGACCTTGAGAAACAAAGGTAGCCTTAAAATTGTCCCAGACCGCATTGTACCTCAAACTAGAGACCTTACAATAGGGAAAATTGTGTTTTTTTTCCTTTCATGCTCTTGACGCAACTTCAAACAGAGACCGGTTCACTTCCAGTCTTGTTTCCACTGTTGACAAAATGTAATATGAATCATTGCGCATTATGAATTAACAATAAAACACCCGGCCAGTGAAACACAAACACAGATGCGCATTTGACGAATTTTAATGAAATTTTCTTTGTAAACGATGATGATACAGAACAATAAGATTCTATCTTAGTTCGTGTTTTTCTTCTCTGCAAAAGGAGGCTACTGTTTCATGCAGGCTCGTTAACGAACAAACTGATTTCGAATCTAAACTCGACCGGTTAAAACAAAAAAACCGCTGTATTTTCAACTAAAAAAAAACCTTTTTTCGTTGATTTTTAAAAATAACTCATGTTTACTTTGTTCTACAATTGCTCTGCCAACTTCATCTTTGGCGGCCTTTTGTTTACGCGGTTTTCTTTTAATCATAAATGACTTCTTGCCTGACGAGCTTAAACTTGTTTGGACAGTTTGAGTAACGTCATGAAAACGTCATGAATTAAGCCTGGAAACTAAGAAATAGTATATAGTACGGCATATCGTTCGAACCGTGATGAAAGTAATATGTATCACGAAAAACAATAGGCATCAAGTATTTCTCACGTATCGTTCAAATATCCCGAGTAACTCCAAGTTTAACAGAATTATCTTCGAGCGGAAGCCAGAAGTATCAAACAGAAACTACAAAATAAAAATGATTTAAAATTTCAAATTGTTCGTTTTAAATATCCATGCATGGAAGGGTTAAAAACACAGAGGGGTCTTGCTATCCTGTATGGAGATATACTGAAAAATTTGTAGAAAAAAGAAAAAAAAAGAATAACAGAATAAGTACTCAACAAAGATTTTCATCAAGATAAGAAATATCGTAGACGTAATGTGTAAAACACATTAAATTGATGTGTCGGTCAGGCTGAAAGTGAAAAGTGTTTCCTTTCTAGGTTCACCCTCGGAGTTTGCAGGTGCAGATGCTTTAAAATTGAGAGAGTTTGTAAGCCAATGAGAAAAATTCTCCAAAATTTTGGTATTAAAAATAGTTCTTTTATTTGCTCTAAATACATAAATATAAGCACAGGTATTATAACATTGTAATAATTACAAAAATAAATAGAACGAAGCCTTCTTTTTCTCAAAAATAAGTATTCATATAAATACACTACCTACTAAGTTGACCGACACATGACATTATCTGGTATCAATTTGCCTCTCTGGTTGGAAGTTTCTGAGTCAGTTTTTGCAACACATCTAAATTATCTCGCAAAAAGAAGTGAAAACTAAATTTCTACCCATGCCCATGCTCATACCCACACAGCATTATTACATGGCTTCAGAATTGTAAACACGGATATCACAAAGCATGCACTTGCTACCATTAAGCTGCTTTAAGAAACAAATCGTAAGCTAATTATTTGATTTCTAAGTTTTCGCAGTGTTGTTTCTGTAGCATGCTGCGGGAACCAACTTTTCTTTATCAGAACACATTCCGCTCCATTACTGAGCTGAAAAATTCACAAAACATAACAGTTACCTTAAGACGAAATACGCTTTCATCAGTCTCCTTCAAAGTGCACATTAGAGGGACAAAGAGAAAAACAGCTCTAGCTTCAAATTTGTGTTGGGATGCAAGAAGTACAGCTTGAGTTAAAGATGTTTGTCTCTCCTACATATAGAGTCAAAAGAGATGAACTACCTCAGAGTAGGAAGTAAAACTAACAGGTAGAAATTAAAATTGCTATCAGATGTTCTTAAGAAATGGCATTTGACGGCAGGATTATCGAAAAGTAGCATCGACAGACCCTAGAAGAGGAAAAATGAAATATTGTAAATAATACTTAAAATATACTTGGAGGTTAAGAAGTTTTGGGACGAGGGAGTGATACTATGTGCCCCATTTTGACCTAAAAGGTTAAAGTTTAAATAGGGTTAAAAGTCTTTGAACTCACGGAATAATTTTACATGTGGAAAGCGAGTCATTTTCTGTGTGGATGGAGAGCAACCGAGGGAAGCTAAGCCGTGTGGGATTATTGTCTCTGAGAACAAACTCCACGACTCAAGATCACTTTTTCCAAGTACTCTCCGAAATGATAAAAAAATAACGTAAGAAGGACTCCCCTTAGAGTTTGGCCTATGTGAGAGAGTCACTCTTTGAGTCTGATTCTTTCTCATTATAGTTTATAATAGAATCACTTACAAACTGATCCTTGGGTTTAAGTAATTCTATCTGCACAACCACTTGCCCGTCTTTGACTCCGCCTCTAGTGTCTCTAATTGTCTTTTGTTGTTTTGGAATAACAATGATACAAGCTTCTATCATTTTTTTCTTTTAGGGTGAATTTCTTTTTACTGATAACAACCAAAACCTACGCTAGAATGTGTTTTGTCCTTCTTCAACCTGGGCTTAGCCGTTAAGAGAATTTACCATGATAGCGATGACGATGATGCTGGTATCGATAATTATGTGTTACAGGCACTTGAGAGTATGAAAATTCCCTTAGCGTTCTGACCTATCACCTTTTTTCCTGAGAAAGAGAGGGAGAGGGTTATATGGACTCCACCCCTATCTTAGCCACGCCCTTTCATCGGAGTAACAATCACCAACCCTAACCAGGCTATTAACTGTCGTGATTTCATGCAGGAGAGGAAAAAAAAGAGCTCTCAGTACTCACCGAAAGAGTTTTATTTCGGGGATTTCCACATTATTAATCCGTTTGTGGAGGCGTTCAATTTTCTGCCCATGTTTTTCTTTACCTCTGACTGCATGATGAAAAGCAACAAAAAATTACTTTTTAGCGACGTCCGTAAAAGATGGTAATAAGTTGGCTTCCTGTTCTCTCCTGTTTAACTACTTCTCGATAGAACGCAGAATGCAGTAGAGGCTTTCACTGACTAAAATGCTCTGAAATGTTACTCATTTTTTATCGCGGGGGGTTGAGAATTTGGGGGAGGGTCACATGGTTTTCAGGGGGAATGGAAGGGAACTTAGTCGTCTCTAGCAGAGTTCAAAGGGGACATTATGAAAAATCGAATGCCAATGAGAGAGGCAATTAGAGTATTACAGTGCCTTAGTGGGGGAAGGGGGGTTGGGTTGGAGGGGTTGAGGGAACAGGTAAATTTTATTCTTACTCAAACGAAATCCCCATCCCAAGGCGATAAATCATAACCGGTTTTAGAAGGCTCTTAGACGAAAGGCGAAGTTGAACAAAAAAGGAACAAAAGGGGCTGAATATGCAGAAGATTTACAAGTATAACAAGTGACTGACTCAGCCAAAATTGTGAAGAATGACTCAGCCAAAATTGTGAAGAATGACTCAGCCAAAATTATGAAGAATGACTCAGCCAAAATTATGAAGAATGACTCAGCCAAAATTGTGAAGAATGACTCAGCCAAAATTATGAAGAATGACTCAGCCAAAATTGTGAAGAATGACTCAGCCAAAATTGTGAAGAATGACTCAGCCAAAATTGTGAAGAATGACTCAGCCAAAATTGTGAAGAATGACTCAGCCAAAATTGTGAAGAATGACTCAGCCAAAATCGTGAAGAATGACTCAGCAAAAATTGTGAAGAATGACTCAGCGAAAATTGAGAAGAATGACTCAGCAAAAATTGTGAAGAATGACTCAGCCAAAATTGAGAAGAATGACTCAGCCAAAATTGTGAAGAATGACTCAGCCAAAATTGTGAGAAAAACTCCTGACTCCTTAAAAATCCACCTAAACATTTTGATAAACTCACCATCTCGAGATAATGCGCTCAGGCGTCCCATTCAAGTCACATTTTTCGCTTTTTTCTGGGGTGAAAAAAAATTTATTGTGGCAATTACCGATTGATTTGAGTTCCAAGAATATTGCGTATTACTTTCTGTAGGAGATGATGGTAACAAGTATCTTTATTTAGTTTTAAAAGCTTTAAATTAGTGAAGAAGCATTGAATGTTTACGTTTATAATAAAGTTCGGATATAACGCGCGCTGTCATTGGTTGAAAGAGCGTGCTCTATGAGAGTATAGAGCATAGAGCTGAGCCAAAGCTGTCACGCCATCTGCCAATTGTACTGTGTTCGAGCTTTTCCGGGACTTCTTTTTATCTTTTTTCCGATAATTGAAAGTGAAATTTCGGAACTGAAGCGAGCCGGCAAGTAGCAACAGAAGAATCAAACAAAGGTTTGTAAACATACTAGGCGCCGTAATTTACGTTATTAAAACGTGAGCAGATACGAAAATCCTCAAAGGAAAAACAATAAACATTCCGAGTTTTAAAGATTTTCACGCTCAGTTAAATTGCAAGCTTACGTACGGTAATAAAAATCAAACACAGCTAACATTCGAAAAGTATATAAAGTTCAGTGTTCAAAAACAAAACAGAACAAAACAGAAATGATGACAAATATAACCAAACTGGCATAATTGTTAAAATTCGTACTAACCATGACGGTGTCTGAGCGAATATGATCATGCTAAGTTCATCGCGGCTCGCTCATCATGGCGATCTCCGGTCATCACAGTAAAGCAAGCCTCAGAAACTACATCGGCCACCCTTCGAGTGAAAAAATAAGAGCTTGTTCTGATATCCTTTCCGATACGTTGAGTGGAAAGTCATATCAGTCACTTCAGCCGAGTTTTGCGGCGCTGTCATTACGAGCGATCTTCATGTTCCGGTGAATTCGGCTGTCGTTCATTCAAAAAACACTCGCCTTGAACAGTTTGTTTTCTACCTTGTCATGTGAAAAAACTCGCGTGTTTTTATGAGCCATAATTCGGCTGAAGTTCACTGAACATTTCACTTCAAGATTCTGTATTAGAGACTTAAAAACTTCAGGCAAAAGTGTTAAATTCGACTTGCCGAACTATTTTAGTTTGTAAACTATCGTAGAATGTGAACTTTGATGGTTTTTGAACTTTGATGGTTTGACACTTTTGACAGCTTTAGTCTTGTACAGCCAATCAGATTATTTGAACCATTCTAACAAGGATTCTTATTGGCTTATTGTAGCGTGCTTTATGAGAGTATAGAGCATGCTGACGACATTGTTGTTCGCTTTGGAAATAAAGTTTGTTTTGAAAATTGAAAGTAATGCTTGGGTAATTTAACGGATTCTTTATTATAAAACAAATAGAGAAGCCTTGACTGTGCTCTGTTCTGTTATAAAGCACTTAGGAAGCGGCTAGAGCACTCAAGAAGTGGGAAAAAACACTCGACTACGTCTCGTGTTTCTCCCTACACTTCTTTCGTGCTCTAGCCGCTTCCTGTGTGCTTTATAACAGAACAGAGCACAGTCAAGGCTTCTCTATTTGTTAAATATACTCGGCTGTAAGCTGATCTCGGCTATAAGCCGAGACTCTCAACTTTCAGCGTGATATCAACTTAATCATACAACATGAATTATAAAATAATGTATAACAATTATCTAACAATTCGAAATGAAGTTATGCTCTGATATTGGAACAGTTGCATAACATGACAATGATCCTGATCCATATTTTCAATGATGATTAGATTCCTAGAATAACACATTGACATTGACAATTCACCCGCTCGTTACAGATTTTTGTGTGTTAAGTCATGTTGCCATTTAACTGGGACACTGTAAAAAGAAATTCTATTGAGTGGCTTTGCTGCCAGACAGTATGTTCACTTAACAGAATTTTGGACTTGAGCCAATACAAATATCGAACAGATAAACAATGCAAAACATTGTATTAGTTGACGGTTTCCGTCACAATTCTTAGAAAAATATGAGGGTAAGTTGGAAGGTATACCAACATAACGATGCAAAACACTGCATCAGTTGACGGATTTGATGTCGTAACCAACGATTTCCGTCACAATTCTGAGAAAAATATGAGAGTACATGGCCTAGAGGGTATACCAACATAACCGGATTGAATGGTTCACTGACATTCTGTGAATTTTTCCGGTTCACTGACCAAGGCCGGCAGTGTTGAATTATTGTTGTTCTTTGAGGATAAGGAAGGTTCAGTCTTTGGCCGTTTAATTTCTGGCGACCATAAGATCGGTCGGATACGATCACCAGCAGCTGTGATAGCATTGGGTCTGTCCGTTACAGCGGCTGAATTTCTGTATTTCTTCTATGATACCAACCTGTACCGCGGCTTGGAGGAGGATCAACCAGAAGAGCGAGCATTTGATAACCACAGTTAGTAAAGAAACAGAAGAAGAGAACGAGGGATGGGTACTGAAAGCCCCATAAATGAAAACTTCACCGCCAATTCACCGCTGCGACAGCGGCCGAAGCCTCAGGAGAACGACAAGCCTCTCTAACAAACGGTAGGCATTTAGGAATTTTTTCTCGCGCACGTGTGGTCAAAAACCAATTAAATTATTTTTACTACCTTCCCTCATCTTCTATTTAAAAATGAAACATTTCTTTTACGTTTTTGATATACTGGTTTTGTTTTCTTTTTGTTGTATTTATCACTTTCGCGTACATTTATTGGAGAAACCATAAAATTCACGGCTGGAATGCAACACAACAATTGACTGACCTCAGCACCTGACCAAAATAAGAGTAACACGCTTGAGTATGATGGTACGCAGAAGTCGTATTAAGTCGTACCAGAGAACACTGAAAATGAATCATGCTACGCGCAGCAAACGGTAGGCTTTTCAAAAAAACACTTAACAACTGTGTTTAGAAAATTTGAAGGATAATAAACACAGTAACCTCTCTTTAGCCCAAAAATATGCTCGAATATTTTCCTTGGAAAAGGAAGGTTCAGTCTTTGGCCGTTTAATTTCTGGCGACCATAAGATCGGTCGGATACGATCACCAGCAGCTGAAAATAGACGAAATAACACTGAGGTTAGCTGCCTCAGTTTTCTATTAGCCTATATAGCAGGCGTATTTTCTGGCATGCGGGTTAAAGTTTAGTTTAAGCAATCATAATGGATCAAATATAAATTGTCAAATAATAATTGTCAAATATAGCAAGCGTATTTTCTGGCATGTGGGTTAAAGTTTAGTTCAAGCAATCATAATGGACTGATTAGGTCGAGACAAAAAATTTCAGAACGGCTAGGAAAGTATTCTAAGGGAGAGGGAGTAATGGTGACAACGACAAACCAGTGAGGTTGGGTGACGATTGGGTAGTCCGCGCAACCACGTGCAGTCAAGGGCACCAATCACATATACACCTCATTGCCTCTTTGGTTTCTTCACTTGCCCCTGCTGAGTCGTTTCAGATTTTCTCTAACTCGGTGTATCAAAGTGTGCTCTCTTTTGTTATTGTGGCCGAAATGAAGCTGAGCTTTCAACTAGCTACGATAGCATTGGGTCTGTGCGTTACAGCGGCTGGATTTATGTATTTTTTCTGTGATACCAACCTGTACCGTGGCTTGTGGGAGGATCGCCCAGAAGAGCGAGCACTTGACAACGACCGTCAGCAAAGAAACAGAAGAAGAGGACGAGGGATAGGTACAGACAGCCCCATAAATGAAAACTTCACCGCTAATTCACCGCTGCGACAGCGTCCGAAGCCTCAGGAGCACGACGAGCCTCTCTGACAAAAAGTAGGCATTTAGAAATTTACTCTCGCGCTCGTGTGGTCAAAACCAATTAAATTGTTTTTACCACCTCCCTAATTTTATATTTAAAATGAATCATTTCTTTTACATTTTAATATACTAGCTTTATTTTCTTTTCGTTTTATTTATTACTTTCGCGTACATATATAGGAGAAATAATAAAATTCATGGCCGGAATGCAACAAAACAAACTGATTGAATTCAGCACCTGACCAAAACAAGAGCAACACGCTTGAGTATGATGGTACACAGCGGTTGAAATTCGTTCACGATGTCAAGGCGACCATTGTTCACCGCCAAAAAATGTGTTAAATCAAAATACACGCGAAAGTCACTGATCGGAGTATTTTCAAAGCGAATGGTTCCTACAATCGTTAGCTTCTTCATGTAATCCGTTTCTATTTTTCCTTAGACACGCTTCGCTGGTTAACGTTCAGTTCAGCAAGAAGAAGTGACTTGCCCATATGTGTTTTTGAGGGAGAATCCTAGTAGATCTCATGGGTCAAATGATTTAATTTCTTGATTGTTTTATATTGTAATTAAAGTATGAGAAAGAATTATGTGACCTGTTGACATCAGCAGTTTCTTACTGAAACTGGGCTTGCGCCGCGATAACAAATTTGCATTATATTCCTCAAGCTAGAGTTGCTTAGATAAAATAATAAAAATTGCGACAAATCTATCCCGGCTTCGGTGTAGTCTTAAAGCATAGGTCTATGTATATTTTTTCTTGCTCCGTTCGTTCGAAGTATTGAGCGACAATTTAATGCGGGTTTTATGCACCACAAGGAAACAAGTGTTCCTTCTGACTTATTTAAAAATACCACCGAGATATGCGATACGTTTATGGTTCAAAGCGGATGGGTGTGTACGTCCAGGTCGCAACATTTGTCATTTGCTCCAAAGATGGCCAATATGGAGCAAAGCTGAAATGACTAATGCGACGAAAGCCTTAGAGACTACAAATAGTTAGGAAAAGATGCGTCGCATAAATTTCCACGATTGACTAAATCCATCGGTTACTCCGCGCAACACAGCTAGTAAATTTGTCTAATCAAATTCAATTGCGCGAGCGTGCTTCATATTCCTATTGTGCACGCTCATGACGTCAGCAAACAAATCCTTCGCGAAAAATAATTTTCCATCGGGTCGAAAATGTTATAAAACTCATAAATAAACTCAAGAAGTTACGCATCTTTCGTGCTCTCCAAACTTCCCGCGTGCTTCATATCTCGATGAACGCACGCTGACGTATGAACCAATTGTTAATGAGTAAGCGTAGTTATTAACGATTGTGATAAAAATAACTTCAACTCATTGAAGCGTTTTGCGTCTTAAAAAAACAATACGCAGTATTTATAAACAGAAACTATCGAAAACTAAGGCGAGACGATACCTGTAGACAGCGCTTTCTTCCTGTCTGCCTCGTCCACAGGCATCATGGGAATGACTGCGTTTGTTTTGTCTGGACTGCCAACTGACCGCTTTAAAAAATGCCCATTTCCAACCTTGGTGCAACGCGGTTGTTTGCTTTTGTTTTGAACCACCGCTTTTGTTTAAATAGCGCCTCTGATTGGTCAGTTATTTTTACCTTGTCACGTCTCAAAATACCTTCGGCGTTTTCTCTGATGAATTTGAAGAGCTTATCAAAATAATTCTGTTTAAAACAGTTCTATACGTTTTAATCCGGTATGGAATCAGATGAATCCATTGATTTAGTAGATTCCGAGGCAGTAAATGCTTATGGTCGGTTGTTGCTAAAGAGGAACGCGAAAATCCTTGCGAGCATTTCGAAGAAGGTGAAAATGTTCATCCACCACGTTTTCATTCATTCATCAATTTTTTTTAATTGAAGTTTGTCATCCTTGTTAAATAGAACCAAGGGTCAGTTGAAGTTCTCTGCCCGTGGAGAGGAGCTTGCACTCGAAAGAGTGGTTGAGGTTGCTGTCCATGTAAAGCAGGAAATAAGAATTGTAACGCAAACTGTCAGTGTCGCTGACGTTCCTCCAATGAAGTGACTAAACTTAAAATAATTAAACGTCTAGCAGTCCGATATTTTTCCATATTTCTCTTCGAAATCCAAAAAATATTTATACGAAAATGTTTTACCTTTATTTACAACCCTCAAGCGCTTCCAGGCAGCCTAAAATTTCGAACTTGATGTTTTTCGTTAACCCTGTATACTGAGTACGAAGCCATCCAAGCGCTTGACACTTTAAAACTATTCTTGGACACGGTTGGACACGGTACTCAAAAAACTCCATATTTCTCTTTGAAATATACAAATTTTTCGTTGGAAAATATTCTACCTTCATTTACAATCCTTAAGCGCTTCTAGAAAGTGAAAAAATGCCAACGTTATCCGTTTCGCTGACCTTGTACACAGAGTGCGAAGAGATCCAAGCGTGACACAAAGAACATTTTCACCGGACATTACCAGACACGGTCTTCGAATAATTAAACGTCCGGCAGTCTGATATTTTTCCATATTTCTCTTTGAAAAATATCAATTTCTATTGGAATATTTTATCTTCATCTAGAATCCTCAAGCGCTTCTAGAAAGTGGAAAAATTTGAACGTTGTCCTTTTCGCCGACTCTGTTCACAGAGTACGAAGAGATCTAAGCGTGACACTTAAAAAAAAAAATTTCTTCGGATTCTTGCTGACAAAACTAAAAATACTGTAAGGAAACTATAAAATGACGAACGGCGAATGTATTTACCGTAAAGCAGTTGACTATATGTCCAGGATGGCTCTTGAGAAAGACGATTTTAGAAGGTTTTCAGTGATCTGGGAATTTCGTGTTACAGGAAAATGGGTCGCGGCGCGCGTTGCATTAAGGTTGGAAATGGACCTTTAACTTTGCTGTCTTTTCCGACTTGACAAGATCCCTGGAAACAAAAGTAATCACCTAATTACTACCAGGTTAAAGGTGTTGATAATCCCTCGATTATTTTTGCTCGCACGCGATTGATCTAAACTCATCACATTATTGAATATGCTTCACTTAAAAGTGGGGAATATCCGGGGATATATCCCATGTGATATTACCCATTTTTATTGTTACAGAGGAGGGACATGTTTTGTTTGTTTATGAAGTCGTACCAGAGAACACTGAAAATGAATCATGCTACGCGCAGCAAACGGTAGGTTGTTCATAAACACTTAACAACTGTGTTGAGAAAATTTGAAGGATAATAAACACAGTAACCTCCCTTTAATCCAAAAATATGCTCGAATATTTTCCTTGGACATAATCTGTTCCCCGACTCTTACAGTTTTCTTCAAGCTTCACTCTCGGAAAATTGTTTGCATCTCGGAACAGATAACGTTCGGGAACAAATATCTGTATTCTCGCGCCAAATGGAGGCTATTATTACGCCATTTAGAATAATAATGAGATTGTAGCTGTTGTAGTCACGCTTTAAAATGGGATTGTTCAGAGAGAATATAACGGACAGTTTCTCTACCTTGTGGAGGAAATTTTTTAGGGGTTTGAGACGGTATTCCTTTCTTTCTTCTTTCGATGAACAGTCACCATGGCAAAGCTAAATCTTTGAATTCAACGCCTGTAGCGTGCGACTAGTTCACGTCACAGCATTTTTCTTCTGAAACGTAGTCCGCTAACTACTCACCGTTTTCACGACGTATATACATTTGGTCTTACTTTCATAAACTATAACAACCCTACGCCCATTAAAAAATTTAATCAAAAGTAACTTACATTTCCCTATGTTTACGTCGAACAACTACAGGTAATCCTCCGGCTTTAGGACATCTGACTATTTCCTAAAATTTAATAAAGTGCAAAACCTTTGTTCTTTTCTCTGGCTTTCATAAATTGGCCAAAAATGAATTAAAGCTAAACGACTCATAAATAATATTTCATCTTGTCAGAAAAAAAAATCCTCAACCAAATAAATAAATTTTCTTACGATTCTTACAAACATGAGAATAATGCCAAGGAAAGTTGATCTCAAACGATGTTAAAATTTGATCCAATTAAGATAACCTTCTCGGCGCGCCAGCAACTCAGCATTTTTTATGCTTTCTCTCGCTTGCTCATACTTTATGTCAATTTTGGTTAACTGAAGTAATGAAATATGCAGACCTGCACATGTTTGGTCGTTCAGAGTCGTCGAGTGGGAGATCCTTCAAATCCGAGAGGCCTCTGTGAAGAAGAAGTAAACGATTTAACAAACTAAGCTACAGCTTCTTAATATATCTTGAACCTGAATGAACATTTAACAAGAAAAATGTTCTCACCTTTAATTGAAGATTTCTTGTATCCTTTCGTATTTTATAGCGAGTATCTTTTACAAGATTGAATCAGACCTATGTAATGGACCTTTTTTGTATTTTTTCGAATGTCTTTTTGAGTCTGGATGTTGAGCTAATAGTAATATCAATTTTTAATCAGTTCATTGGCCCAAATGACAGCCTCTCCTTTAATCAAGTACTTCATTAAGAGCAATCTTCAATTCCGCGTCAGCACAGTAGCTAAATCAGCTACGAATGCATATCTGAGGAATAAAAATGGGCTGATCTCGCCGTGAAACTCTATAAATTGTTTTTTTCCAGATAACATTTTGAATAGTCTCATCTGCTCCGCTAATGAAAAGTCAATAAACAGACACAGGAACATTTTGCACGTATTCAAGCTTATGCTAGGAAAAGAGACTTGGAATAAGAGACGTTACGCAAAAGAGTCGTGGAATATGAAAATTCGTTTTCCTTTGACAAAAACAGGCAGTTTCCTTAGACAGCTCTGTACAGGAAAACTATGAAAGCATTAAGATGCGATTTCTAATCATTTCTAAATTCATTGAAACGGCAATCTAACCGCTTACCTTGTACTACGAACAGCAGAATGACCTTGACAAATAAAGGCAGTCTTAAAATTATCCCGGACCGCATTGTACCTCAAACTAGAGACCTTACAATAGGGAAAATTGTGTTTTTTTTCCTTACATGCTCTTAACGCAGCTTCAAATAGAGACCGGTTCACTTCCAGTCTTGTTTTCACTGTTGGCAAAATGTAACATTAATCATTGCGCATTATGAATTAACAGTAAAACACCCGGCCAGTGAAACACAAACACAGATGCCCATTTGACGAATTTTAATAAAATTTTCTTTGTTAACGATGATGATACAGAACAATAACATTTTATCTTAGTTCGTATTTTTTTTCTCTGCACAAGGAGGCTACTGTTTCATGCAGGCTGATGGGTATGAACAAACTGATTTCGAATCTAAACTCGACCAGTTACAACAAAAAACTGCTGTATTTTCAACTAAAAAAAAACCTTTTCCGTTGATTTTTAAAAATAACTAATGTTTACTTTGTTTACAATTGCTTCGCCAACTTCATCTTAAGTGGTTTTTTGTTTACGCGATTTGGTTTTAATCATAAATGACTTTTTACTCTCTAGAGATTTTCATTAACATGAGAAATATCGTAGACGTAATATGTAAAACACATTAAATTGATGTGTCGGTCGGGCTGAAAGTGAAAAGTGTTTCCTTTCTAGTTTCACCCTCGGAGTTCGCAGATGCAGATGATTTAAAATTGAAAGAGTTTGTGAGCCAATAAGAAAAATTCTCCGAAATTTTGGTTTAAAAAATAATTCTTTTATTTGCTTTAAATACATAAATATAAGCATAGGTATTATAACATTTTAATAATTACAAAAATAAATAGAACGAAGCCTTCTTTGTCTCAAAAATAAGTATTCATATAAATACACTACGTTTTTTTTATTTGTAAAATCGACATGCAAAGCACTACACATCATAAGTCTCTTGCTTCTGTTTTATTTTCCTAATGCATTTAACCTTCTCGAAGTTTTTCGCTCATTTTATTTCGCCTTATTCTTCTTGTTTAGAAAAGTAGTCCACTAGGTTTAGTAGGTTTAAATAAATTTTTCATTTCTACCATAACCGAAAAATATCAAAGCTTAATTTGTCTTTTACAATTATCGAATTAAATGATCGTGTTTGACCATTCGCGCTTGGTCACAAATTTTTTTACCGCGTTTCAAGCAGTTTGATGGTATCCATATTACTTAAAATGGGAAAATCCTGTGTTCTGATTGGCTACATGAGCGGGCAACATGGGCCCATCTGCCCGCACGGGTTTGTCCGCTTTGATCCCGCGCAGGAAAAAAATTGCGTGGAGCAGACTTACAGAAGCAAATCAGTTCGTGACCGAAACAATGTCATACAATAATAGTGGCCACCAGCTGGTTCTTGTGATCACTGATCTGAAGAGTTGGCGAAATTATAACTGGAAATATTTCTAAACTGTCTGAGAATGTATCATAAATGAAGTGTATCTAGAAGAGAATTGATTGTTTGTGTTTTAAACGAGTCCCAGTTGGCCTGATCTTGCATTTTCTGTTCGAGAGTGGCTTGACTTGGGTATGGAGGAATCTGATGAAAAAAGTAAAGTTGATCGACACATGACATTACCGTTAATTTCTGACATCAGTGTGTTTCTGAGTCAGTTTTTGCAACACATCTAAATTATCTCACAAAAAAAGTGAAAAATAAATTTCTACATATGCTCATACCCACACAGCGTTATTACATGGCTTCAGAGTTGTAAGGATATCACAAAGCATGCACTTGCTACCGTTAAGCTGCTTCAAGAAACAAATTGTAAGCTAATCACCTGATTTCTAAGTTTTCGCAATGTTGCTTCTGTAGCATGCTGCAGGAACCAACTTTTCTTTATCAAAACACATTCCGCTCCATTGCTAACCTGAAAATGCACAGTACATAACACATAGCTTAAGACGGAATTTGCTATCACAAGTATTCTTCTTCAAAGTCCCATTAAAGGGGCTTTGGAGGGTCCAAAGAGTTCCTCTCCGTCATGATAACTCCAGATTTGCTTTGGGATCCAAGAGGCCCATATTGAGTTGAAGAGGTTTGTCTCTCATATCATACAAAGGCAAGAGGAACGAAATACCATAAGGTAGGAAGTGAAACAAAACGATTTTAACACGGTGCAACTAAAATTGCTATCACATGTTCTTACCAAATGGCATTTGACGGCAGGATTATCGAAAAGCAGCATCGAAAGACCCTAGAAGGGAAACAAAAAATTGTAACTATCACAAGGTTGTGACGGCGATGGAACTTGATAGTTGTGAGTTTTGGACACGGTAGGGATGAGAGATGAGATTATATGCTATAAGTTGACCTAAAAGGTTTTAGTTTAAAGAATAAAAGTCTTAAACGCACGGAATGATTTTGCATTTACATTGCGAGTCGTTTGTCTGTATGGGTGGACAGCAACCAGGAGAAGCCGCATGAGATTATTATCCCTAAATTAGAGCAAACTTAGTTATTCCAAGATCCCTCCTGAAAGACTCCCCTAAGAGTAAGGCCTATGTAAGAGAGTCACTCTCTGAGTCTGATTTTCTCTTGCTGTAGTTTATAATAGAATCACTTACAAACTGATCCTTGGGTTTAAGTAATTCTATCTGCACCACCACTTGCTCGTTTTTTGAGTCCGCCTCTGGTGTCTCAAGTTGTCTTTTGTTATTCTGGAATAACAATGATACAAATGTTTTTTTTAGGGTGAATTCCTTTTTACGGATAAGAACCAAAACCTACGCTTGAATTTGTTTTGTCCTTCTTCCATCTGGGCTTAGCCGTTAAGAAAATTTACCATGACAGCGATGATGACGATTCTAATATCGATACTTACGTGTTACAGGCACTTGAGAGTATGAAAATTCTCTTAGAGTTCTGACCTATCACTTTTTTCTTGGCAAAGAGAGGGACGGGATTACTTGAAGTCCTCCCCTATCTTAGCCACGCCTTTTCATCGGAGTTACAATCACCGACCCTAACCAGGCTAGAAACTGTCATGACTGTCATGAGAGGAAAAATACGAGCTTTTAGTACTCACCGAAGGAGTTTTATTTCGGGGTTTTTCCACATTACTAATCCGTTTGTGGAGGCGTTCAATTTTCTGCCGATGTTCTTCGCTATCTCTGACTGCATGATAAAAAAAGCATTAGAAAAATTATTCATTTTTTTTTTAGGCTTTCACTAAAATACTCTGAAATGTTCATAAGGGGACTCTACGATGAAATAATGTTTTTTTCTTGTGCCTCAGCCTGGAAGGAACTGCGAAGTATAAGTTTGATTGGAAAGACAGAGACAAAACAGGCAAAACTGAACAAAGAAGGACAACAGCAATGACTGGATTTGAAAAAATTTACAAGTATAACAAGTGACGAACTCGAAAAATTTTGAAGAATGACCAGTTGACTCCTTCGAAATCAACTTAAACGTTTAAATAAACTCACTATCTCGAGATAATGCGCTCAGACGTCCCATCCAAGTCACGTTTTTAGCGGTTTTCTGAGGAGTAAAAAAATGTTAATCCATTAGACCCTAGCAATTAGACGACTGATCTGAGGATATGAAAGATCGCCGTCAATATATAGATGGCCTGCAAAAGAGGCACATTAATTCAAGGTCTACGAAAAATTGAAAGTGAAAATTAAGACCTTAAAACCCAGCGCAATGCTTGTGACTGGCAACATGTATTGTAGGAGGTTTGAATACATTATTCATTCGCGCGCTTTGACGATCTCTAAGAAAATCAATCGTGGTTCTTTGTTACAAATTGCACTCGAAATTGTATGATTGTCTGTGCCAGTATTTTACCCGTTATAAAAGCCAGTCATTTGAGAGGAGAAATCCCTTGAGCCAGATCCCGTTAGTTTTATAGCGCTCACAGAAGGGTTTGCATTTCAGTGGAGTGGACAACACAGCGGTCAAACGTCTCTGTATGTGCGAACGTTGTGATGACTAGGCGGCGTGCTTTCAGACCACACTAGTCAGTTGGTCATAGTGTTTTAAAAGCGCATAACGTTTTCTGTAAATCAACAAGATACCCTTACTTGACTAAGCTAAGCGTTCAAAAATTCTTGAGTTCTCCATATTTTTTCTTTTGTTCCCTTTTACAGCTTTCTATGAACATTTCAACTATTTCAAGGTTATTTTGCGAGACAGCGGTTGTTTGCGATGTTTTCTTTGAGATTTTGCGCGAGAAATTGGCGCGTGGGCGAGAGAATTGATCCCCGCGCGCATGCCCGACGTTCGACCGCTGTGTTTTGGACAGGACCACATATCATGAATAAATAATGAAGATGGATTCCTCGTTCATCTCTTACCCTGAATTTTTCCGGTTCACCAACCAAGGCAGGCAGTGTTAGATCATTGTTGTTCTTTGAGGATAAGGAAGGTTCAGTCTTAGGCCGTTTAATTTCTGGTGACCATAAGATCGGTCGGATACGATCACCAGCAGCTAAAAATGGACGAAATAACGCCGAGGTTAACTGCCTCAGTTTTCTATCAGCCTACGTAGTAGGCGTATTTTCTGGTATGCGAGTGCATGTAGGTCTATGAAATCATATCTGGGAGTTTAAGAAAACCATGGCGGCAACTGCAACGGGAATGTCACTTAACAAAACGTTTTAATGAGCAGAACAATGGCTGTGGACGTGCGTTACAAATCTTTGTGAATTTTTTTGCGTCCTCTGCAAAATGACAACGTAAAATGACAAAACCTTGCGTTGTCTGGACAACGTACTCGGTGATGGCTAATTTTTTAAATTTCTTTCTCTAATTTGATGCTGTGTTCCATATTCAGTTTCGAAATAGTTTTGACAGCGAGAAACAAACTAAATAACTTTAGAGCGTGCGAGATTCGTAGGGTAAAATATAAGTTCATATTTTAACCTACGTTGTCCACAGCGTCGCCTTCGTCGTTTCTTAAACTCCCTATTGAATTATTAATACGGTCGAAACCGAAAGTTCAGCAACCAGTGACGCGTACAGTAAAATTACTTTCACGTGCAGACATGTGCAGTAAGGAACAGATATAATAACGTTCACTTCATAACTAGAAGTAATCTTCGTGGTTCCTTTAGTCACGCTAAATAGTTTCAAAATCGCTTTTCGGTAGAAGTTGAAATTACAACATGGTGCTCTCTCTTAATGTCGTGGCCAAAATGAAGCTCGACTTTGAACAAGTTATGATAGCACTGAGTGTATGCGTTACGGCAGTGGCTGCTTTTCTGTGTGTCGCCAAAATGATGCGTGGCCATCAAGGTGAGCGTTTTGCTGAAAACCACCGTCAGAAAAGAGGAGGACAAAGAAGAAGTACTGATTGGCCTGCAAGAGAAAACTTCGCCAACAACTCATTGCTGCGACAGCGTCCGAGGCCGCAGGAAAACGATGAGCCTTTCTGACAGACGGTAAGAATTTATTTTCTCACCTAAACTACCCGTCTCTGATCTTCTATTCTTAAAAAAAAGTCATATCTTTCAAGTTTTTTATATACTGGCTTTGTTTCCTTTTCGCTGTATTTATCATTATCGTCTACATAGGAGAAACCATAAATTTCATGGCTGAAATGCAAAATAGAAACAAATCTGTGATCAAATTCATAACGTTCTCGAAGTGAAGTGAAGAGCAACACGCTTGAAAATGATGGCACAAAGCGGTAAAAATTCGTTTACATAGTCAAATCAAACTCGATCCAAGATCTGCGATCGAGTTCTCATAGAAATGCAATCCGCCCGAAGTTCTTTGTTTACCGCAAAAAGATAGTTTAAAATCAAAATCCACGCAATGCCGGTGAAAAAGCGAACGGTTGCCAAACGCGAATACTATCCTCAGCTTTTTCATCTAATCTGCTTCTATTTTTCTCTAGGCACGCTACGAATAACAATCGATGGTCAGCGAGGAATGAAGCAAGGAGAACTGACATTGAAACGAACTCAATAGATCAAATCGAATTTATTTCTTTTTAATTTTAAATTCTAATCTACAGTAACTTGAGACAGTTTCAATTTATAACGTGCTCAGCGTTAGTATCTGATTATCAGATTGCTGTCGCCCTGCAGGGTTGCCATGTTAACTACTTGTCACGCACGAATGCTTGCCGAAAGGATAATTATTTTAGCAGATAAATCGATAAAAATAGTAACAAATCTGGGCGTCGTCTTTGCCCTACACACCATTTGTCATAAGCTCCAAAGATGGCCATTTGGAGCCAAGCTCAAATTACTTATGTGACGAAAGCCTCGAAGATTTATATAATAGAAAGTAGAGATTCATCGGTTGACAAACTCAGGAAAAGATACATGACACAAAATTCCACGGTGAATATCAATCAGAATTAGTTTGCGCAGCTAAAACAAAAGTGGTAAAGTGATAAAAATAACTTAAATTCATTTAAGCGTTTTGCATCTTACACAATGCTTATAAACAGAAACTAAGGCGAGGCGATACCTGTATACAGCGCTTTCCTCCTGTCTGCCTCGTCCACAGGTATCACGGGAAGGACTGCGTTTGTTTTCTCTGGACTGCCGGCTGACCGCTTTAACTTTGCTGTCTTTTTGGACAAATGAGTTAGGACTCGACAAGATCCCTGGAAACACAAATAATCATTTAACTACTGCCAGTATATTCGTGTATATACAGGCAGAACACGCCACGCACTAAAACAATGGGACCGGAACTGTTTTAACAACGTTTTGAAAAGCGATTAAAAATTCAGAGTGACAATACACGATAATGAATTCTTGGGTTTGATTTCGTTCTTTTTTCGATGAACGGGCTCTATAGTAACATCTATAACGTGCGACTACTTCACGTCACAGCTTTTTTTCTACCGAAATGTAGTCCGCTAATTACTCACCGTTTTCACGACGTATATCCATTTCGTCTTACTTTCGTTAACTATAACAACCCCACGCCTATGAAAAAAAATACAGATCAAAAGTAAATTATATTTCCCTATGTTCATGTCGAACAACAACAGGTGATCCTCAGACTTATGGATATCCGACTATTTCTTAAAATTTAGTAAAGTGCAAAGCCTTTCTACTTTTCTCTGGCTGTCATAAATTGGGGAAAAAAAATTATATCAAAGCTTAACGACTCATAAATAATATTTCATTTTGTCAGGAAAAATATTTCAACCAAATAAATGAATTTTCTTCCAATGTTCACGAACATGAGAATAATGCCACGGAAAATTGATCTCAAACGGCGGTAAAAATTGATTCATTGAAGATAACATTCTCGGGGCGCCAGCAACTGAGCATTTTTTTTATGCTTTCTCCTGCTTGTTTATACTTCACATCAACTTTGGTTACCTGAAGTAATGAAATATGCAGACGTCATGCTTAGTCGTTAAGTCGTCGAGTGGAAGATCCTTCAAATACGGGACGCCTCTGTGAAGAAAAAGCGAACGATTTGACAAACTAAGTTATAGCTTGCAAATAGAATAAGAGAGACGGTAAGTTTTGAGCTCGGTAAAGAAATAACGAAAGATGTTTTTCGTCTTGTCACGAGCGTGGGAGTCTGCTCACCGTAGAGTCTGTGTGGCTCAGGCCCAGTTCAGACGCCGTACTTCAGCCGAGCCGAATTAAATACAACGAATTAAGTTCATACGAGGTACAGCGTCTGAATCAATTCGGAACGGCTTATTTAATTCAGATCGGCTCAGTCAATTAATCCCACCTGACTCAGCCGGAAAGAACGGCTGAAGGCCAGCTTTGATTCAGACGCCGTACTTCAACTGAGCCGAAACAAATGCATAAATTATTTTAATGTAACATATTACATATCACATATTTAATGTCATATATTAAAGTTTTTAATGCGTTTTTCATGCTGTTTTTTACTCGAGAGCATGCGCAAAGTAGTGTTTTGCAGGAGAAAAACGGCGGTTTGGCGGGCCAAACTAGACGATGGTGACTTGTGTTGTTCGTGTTTCGGCACGACCAAATATGCTTGCTTGAAATGTAAAATCCCAATTTGCAATAAATGTTCGATTTCGAAGAAAATGTTTATTTTTGGGGCTCACGATTTAACGATTTATCAATAAAGGGCAAAATTACTGAGCGCTGATTGGTTGAGAGAGAGGGTATTTTTTTTCTTAATCGAGGGCTCACGATTTAACGATAAATCTGAGCCCCAAAATAAACATTGCTCAATTTGTTACGCTGGATTTGCGTAACATTTCCAATTTGTTAGACTGGATTTGCGTAACATTTCCAATTTGTTACGCTGGATTTGCGTAACATTTCCTGTTTGTGGGTGCTTTTGTTGTTCACACCCCAATTTGAAAGTGATTTGTATATGTAATCACATGAGGCCAAGTACTATTAAGGATTAATTGCACGAGAGTTTTCAAAATTTTCCAAAATTTTGAAAGTGATTTATGCTGTAAACTGTTTAGCGCTTCGGCAAATCATCAATCAAATTGAACTGACCAATCGATTCAATGAAATTTTATTCGCCAAAACTGTGTCGTGATACACTGCCAAAAGTTTAGAAAACAAAGCTCATTTCAACAGAGCGTTTCTGCTAACCGAAAAACAACAAAGTGCTTTTAACTGAACAAGGTAATCTGTCTTGATTACTAAAAATGCCCTCGATTAAGAAAAAATGCCCTCTCTCTCAACCAATCAGCGCTCAGTAATTTTGCCCTTTATTGATAAATACTGTAAATATCTAGCACATTAGTAGTTCATTTGTGAATTTTGTTAAATCCCTGATGAAGTCGTTGTGATCAGACGAAACCGGTCGGATAATAAACAAAGTTGACAAGATCTGTTGCTGTGTGCTGCTCACTAGTTTTTATTTGAAAAATAATTTTAAAAATTTCTTCGATTAATTAATTTCGGCCGAATAAAGTTCGGCGTTTGAATCAATTCAGCCAGGATTAACTAATTTAGGTCGGCCTATCGTTGAATTCGATTCGGCGCGGCTTAAGTACGGCGTCTGAACCGGGCCTCAGTGGTAGGGCATCGGAGCGCGAAATCCGAAGGTCTGAGCATCGATTCCTCCTGGGGACTCAGAATTTTTTCTTTGTCCCACGCTCGTGGCAAGAAGAAAAACATCTTTCTCTAAGTTATAACTTTTAATATACCTTGAAACTGAATGAACATTTAATAAGAAAAATTCTCACCTTAAAAATCGGATATGTTCTGGTTCTCTGCCGTCCTCGTAACTCATAAAAATATCCCGAAAATCCTAAAATAAATGGTGCGAGAGAAGCTCAGGAAACTGAAAATTATTTTGTTGAATATACTCTAAACATTTTAAAGTTGTTATCCTGCAAACCCGGCCTAACATGATGTCACAGACCTTGATTTGAAAATCAGTCAAAAGTGATCTCGTTCCTGTGATGCTCCAAGTTGTTTCCTCACAAGAACTATCAAGCGCTCCTTAATGAAATTAACTGTTGTGTTTTGGAAGAGATTTTTGAACTCACGAAGAGACTGAACCCACCTCTCTGCAAACCGCTAAGAGAGAAACTTCATCCTTGCATAAAACTGTCGCACTCCTGGTTTTGTGATGAAGCAGGGCCAGTTCCTGAAAGATTAAGAGAAAATATAGGTAATTTTTCAAGTTTTGCGCATTGCACTTAGAGATCTTCACTAAAGTTTAATAAAGCACATGCAAAAGCATATGTTGGTTATTACAAATTAAACTGTAACCAAGAAAGGACCTACCGGTAATAAAGTTGTTTTGAGAAACCTTTTCTCCTTTAGTTAACAGTTTTAGACCAAACATAAAATATCTGTTTTCCAATGTGTTACCCTCCACAAATGTCAAATTATTTCAAGATAATATGCGGGTTATGTTATTTCAATCTGGCTTTGGACACTCTTTGTTCATTACGGCTGGTTACGTACCCCAAAGCTGCTTCCTTTCCCCAGAACTGCAACTGTTGTGTTTCTCTGTTCTCTGGACTTCGCATCGTTGACTAATAGCGTAACAAGTGCTGCATAATAATGGTACAATCAGTGTAAGAGCCAAGGGGAGGGAGGGGGAGGGGGGGGGGGTTTAATCCATCCAGCACTTCTCTCAAGTTCAGTAGAAAATGCGAATAAAGGTATTGATGCTACTGATCCATTCCCCCTCCCCACCAGAATTAGATCAAGTCTCTTTGCCAGTTTACCGGTAACCAATTATACTTGCGGGTGACAAGAGGCACAGTGTGTGACCACAACACAGTTACCTGGTCAGGGTTTGAACCCAGGCCTCTCAGAGATCCAGCGCGCTTACTCCCATCAAATCAAACGAGGGGTAGTATTTATTCAATCGTTTTTCTATTCGTTTGTTTGTTTGTTTGTTTGTTTTCTTTTTGTACGAACCCTCCTTCCCAGCCGTCACTCGAAGCTGACGGCTTCGAAGGAAAATTTGTCTTTTTAACATTCTAAAAAGATCTAACAAAGCAAGCTTAATTACCTGTCCCAGACAGAATGAAATAGAAGTTCTCCGCTTTGTGGCCTTGGCGAATTATAACTCTCTTGGCCTCAAATCTTAAAAACAAAAGAGCTCATATCTTTAATTCATAAGGTCCACAAGGAATGATACAATGTGAACATGACAGAAAAAACAACAGAAAGACTGAGATGGTCATGACACAAGTTGAGATAACTCCTAAGTGCGAAGAACAGCCATAACAGCACGTATTCAAATTATTATTTTATTAGCTTAGTGAGTCTTAAGACTCAGTCATTAAATTATCTTTAGAGCTGAAGTTTTTCTCAAAAATAGGCAAAAAATCCATATTGAATTAGGTTCTTTAGGACAAAAAAGCAGCTATGTTTCGCGTAAATTGAACTAAATATCCTTGAACGTTCCTCTTTCCAAAATCTAAGAATTGGTACGTATTCCGACTGTTTTGAAGCTTCATAAAAGTCCTAAAGTTACTCCTTTAGGATTGCACGATTTTTTATCATTGTTTTTTAGCAAGTTCTACTTTTGATCAATGTATTTTACCTGAGAACTTAGCTCAAAGCTCAGGTGTTTTAACGCATAACGGATCATTTCTGTTGTTTGATGATGTTATAAATTCCCCTCACCTTTCATACCAGCCAACAGACACCAACCGTCGCTGCATCTTCAGCGGATACTCGCCGAAGGCAGCAACACTGGTTTTCAGCGCAACTAAGGCCTGGAAACAAATGGAGACAGAACAAATGTTTACACAGAGTTTTTTGTCATAATACTAGAGCTTCTACTGAAGAAAGAAAATTGATTCTGTTCCAACCCAATTGAAACTCTTGATAAATAGGAAGAGCAGGGAGACATCAAGAAAATTTGCGCTCAAAAATGGAATATTAGGCAATATACTTACAGTTTGAAGCTGTTCCTCCGTTCTTGATCCGGGACTCAGAGAGAGGATGTGAATGGCTTCTTGACTTAACTGTACCTGTTGGATATAAATCAAAATAATTTAATCACAGTAAACCTGTTATCTTTTGGTTCAATGTCAATTCATGTAACAATTCTTACGAATCGTTCATAAAGACATGACGCACATCGCTTTATAAGGAGACCATTATTTTCTCTTGGCAAAACCAAATCGTAAAACTATGAGAAATAGCCTCGAGATAACTTTGATCCGAATTGAATTTATTTTAAACTGATTGACACTCTAATCCTTAGCTCAATATAGAAACCAAAGCAAATGTCAACAAAAGCAGCTCTCTCTCTCACTCTCTCAAGCTCTCTCTGTCTCTCTCTTGTACCCAGCTCTCGCGCCATTCGTTTCAAACGTGTGGGTATAAAGAGTATTGAGATGATGTCATGTGACTTTAAATCAACAGCTTACCTCTCGCACCGCCTTAAAGGTAGTTGGATCAAAAATCATGCCATCACAATCCACGCTGGTTACGGTCTCCGCGTCCAGTTCAGCGAACACATTTGTGTTTTGAGAGCGGTATTTCCTACGATTAAAAAAAAAAGGTCAAAAGTCAATGCCTCATTTCTGAAGGGAGACAGCAGCGCTGTGAGCGAAGAAGTTTTCAAGCGTGCATGCAATAAAATTCCAAAAACAAAACGCGGAAAGAAACGTGGATGAAATGCATATTTTTTAAAAGAAACGTATGAAATGCTCATAATCTCATTTCAGCCACCCCCGGCCAAAAAAAAAAAAAAAAATGGTCCAAAAGTGATTTGATCGTGAACTGTGAAAGGATGTGTTGCCGATGGCTATGACTCAGACGTTTTGACTTCCTCAGCGGAAGTTATTATCCGAGCCAAGTACATGTACTTTTAATTCAAAGGTACCGCGCATCAAATCAAATGGTCATTGTATCTTCTTGAAGTTGAAATTTCTATCTAGATGGGTTGCTTTAAGTAACTTGTCCATTTGGTACACAGTTTATGTCACCGAAAATTGATTGCGTCAAAAATTCAGCTTCACAGAGTTAATTGGACAAATTAGCATTTGAATCTTGATTAGCTCGGCATTAGCCCGAGGTGACGTCATCTGAATGTGTCTGTAGGTAGCAATCTTTACGACATAATATCACAGTTATCATACCAATTAAAACTTAGACAGTACTTGATGAATGAGAGGAAGTTATTAGTTCCTAGAATGCGAGGGCAGACAAACGCCCGCGAAAACTTATGACAGGTTAGTTTTACACTCAAATAGTTGACTGATCTGGAGAAGAAGCAGTTCTTATCAGTAACGTATTTCTCTTTAAGTGGAATAAGTGCAGACTGGCGTGGCTATGTGCTCAGTTCTGACGAGAGAGGATCAGAAATTTCATGCCCTCCTGGTTCTAGCTAGTATCAAATGCCTTAAATTTCAGCTTAAGAAAATCACAACAACAACACATACCTGTCCATAGAAGTCTTCATTTTCAGCAGGAAACAAAGAAGTTGAACAATTTTTCGAAATCTCTCGATAGGCTGAAAAGCGAGAAAAAAAAATCGGTTGGAAAATAATAGATGCAAGGCAGGGGGCCAGTAATTAAATAAGCCAACATGGATGAAGAAGACATTGCGTGGCCCTGAAACCTCACGTAATTTGTGCTGAATGAGAAACGAGAGCGTCTTTTGTGCAAAGGAAAAGTACATCCGTTTTGAATTTGCTACCTCCGGCACGGAAATGTGCCTCGAGAGAGTGGCCTGCACTTCAGCGATCGAATTACTTACCAGCCATCGTCTGATAATTAATTTTAACTTTTTTTTTTTTTGCTTCTGGATTTGTTGCATCTGTTGGTTTTCTTTTTCCAAAAAATTTGGCTCTAAGTCTGCTCAATTTCCGGCAAACAGAGCTACTTGACTCTTTCTTGGAAGAAAAAAAAAAGTTTTCTTCATTTTGACTTCCCATCGATCCATTGACGTCACCAGCCTCTGGGTTTTGAGAGGGTTTACTTACATTAGCAAACTATTTTTATTATTGGTAATTATTCTAATATACCAAACCGCCATCACGGAACTTTTTGAACATTTTCAAAATGTTCAAAAAAGTTCCGTGTTCGGGCCCAAAACATAATTAAGATATTATCTAGTGTAATATTCAAATCTTAAAAGAGAAAAAGATCAGAGATTTGATTATTTCCAAAGTTAAATTTGTGGTTTAGTACATTGTCTGATTCCGTCAAAAAGTCAATAGTCTTTAGATCTACAGGGGATATTGCGTAAAGTTTATAAGACCGTTGATTTAGACACTCGATCATAATTTGGTTAAACCAAAGCGGAACCGCAATTTAGTTTGACTTAAAAGGTACTTGTTGTGAAACACACGTCTCTTGAATCCAAATAATAAAATTTGGCTCACGCGAGGTAATAACTCGACCGTAACGAAACCTACCGCTACCCCCGAGCCGTCATTCTCTTCTTCAACTACCTCTTCACTCAAAACGTCTACTTCGACTGCGGGCAGAACTACTTCTGTTTCTTCTTTCTCTGAAACAAGATGCTCTTCGTTTATGATTGGTCTTACTTTCTTTCGTCCAGCATTTTTAGCTTTCCGCGTTGAATTTTGCGAAGGAAGTCGATCGTCTATGTGTGTAGATATGACCCCATCGTCTGCATCGTCCGCAGCGCTGCTTATTGCTCGCTTCCTGATGTTGTTTACAGACAGGAAATTTCCTAAATAAGTTGGCGGGAGGGAAGCCCGTCTAGAAAGTCTTCCTTTCTTTGAAACTTGATTTGGAAGCCACTTCTGGTCTTGTTTGGGCTTCGATGAAATTTTACGTAGTACGCCGTCAATATGAACTAGTTTTTCCAGGCCAGCTGCATCGGATGAAACTGTTTTTCTGAGTTTTGTGCTACCTTGCTCTTCGTCAGAAATTAATGAAATATCAACAAGAGAATAAGGATCAGAAGAAATACGAGGAAAGCCTCCTGAACTCGTGATTTCCTTCGACTCTCTCTCTGACTGAGTTCTTCCAGTTAAGTTAGACATATTCTCTCTGCTTGTTTCATTGTTAGCTTCATGTCCGTTTGCGTGAGGGCTTTCCGATTGACTTCGGAAAAAAGAATTTCTTGATTTCGTTTCATTCCAGCATTCTTTTGTTAGTTGGTTGTCTCCTTTACCTCCTAACATAATCGCCATTTGTAGGTTGTAGTGTTTCAGTTGTGTTAAATCGGACAGATACTTAACTAGCTTCTCTGGAAGCGGAAGGTGACATACTCCTGCTTCGTCATGTCCTCTTTGAAACAGAATTCACCAGGTTAAACCATAAGTTAGTCTTCTTCACCAGTTGCTGTGGTTCAGGATTTTTTTAACTCAACTGTTAAACTTCTCAACTTTTCGCGTGCGTTGCGTAGCAATATGCAGCAATCTTTTAGTAAATGGCACAACTGAAGTTTGTGCTTCAGCACTGCTTCTTACATCGTTAAATCAGGCCCTCAACCTAAATTGAAACTAATGTCTCCACTGCAATCGGTATCACTAACACAAAAATTCCAAATCATCGATTAATCTTCTTGTCAAATTACTCCTTGCAAGCAGAATCCGATCTAATGCTTGGCTGCTTAATTGAAAATTCATAAGACTCTCTCTGTAAACACGATTTGTCTGGTTTGCATCAAAATGCACTATCCATAACTACGCAAACAAAAGATTGGAACTTATGAAACAAACAAGCGGTCAACAGTTCAGCACAGATTTACCCTTTGCGTCGAAATCGCCGTCAATAAGCCAAACGATTGACGGTTTCAGTTCAACGGGATTTGTCAAAAGAAAACGTGAATTACCATGCTTGACAGATGATTCGTTTCATTCGGGGTCGGTTGTTATTGGTTTTACAGGGAAGGGTGAGTTTCATTCGTCATCAAAAATTCGACAATTTTTGTGTCGCCGTATCAGGTACTGTTCTATCTCTGTTTTATACGAGATAATCTGTCACTGAACAAAGTTTTTAAATCGACCTAAATCTTTTGAAAAATAAACAGTTTGTTTACTAATTTTTGTATCAATCACGTAAATAATTCAAAATCGTAAAGTGACGAAGCTTTCAAGGTATGTACACTGATAGGCATATCTTTGTTATTTTGTAACCCTGAGGGTTTGATATTCTGCTTAACGGGTGCACTACATGCATCATTGCTCCCTCAGGAGGCAGCGATAGAATCTATTTTTGTTAAAACCCATTTAACGAGCCACTCGATTGGATGCGCACAGTTTGCTCTGTTGTCCGCAGTTACTAGTAATTCAAATTGCGTCACGTAAGTTTTTATACGACGTCGCATGGGGTTGCAATTAACAGTGGGAAACCCATTAAAGAAATTTGCATTGAGGCTATAGAGAGGAATTCAGAACTATTTACTTATGCCCACGGAAACAAATCCAAGGCAGAGCTATCAATCTTACTAATGAAGTCAACATAATTAATTGTATTTTTTGATTTTTCAAGCGATAGCAATCGGTTGAATTTTCCGTAGTTGATGTTGAATGTCCGCCATTTTGGACTTCAAAGCCGAGAAGGCCCTGGAAGCAAGTTTTATAATTGAATGCTTTTTGCTTGGTCAAATGGGTTGCTCGCTGATCAGAGGTTATTTTTAAAAAAGAAATAAAACGCATGCGCGTTGTGATTAAGAGTCAAGCCTCTATGATCTAGCGGAGATCATTTACACAATCAGCAGAAGACTATTTGAGACATATCTTTAAAAAACTGGTGTCCTTTACCGTAAGCTTTTCTTTGCAAGTTAACCAGCTTGTGTAGGCTGGGAGCAGGAGCAGCGTTTTTTAATTCAAAAGAATAGAAATCAGCATTAACACGATCAACAAGTGCTTGAAGACAGAACGTGTACCTTAGGTCTACAAGCCAATATTAGGGCTGAGCTTTTATGTTCCTCGACGCAACTGTCGGAGTCACTGCGTCCTTTTCCCAGCCATTACGTCATTATTGTCTCTAAAAAAAATTGGTCCGATGGTTTGCCGTCAAGAGCTGTGGTGAATCGGTTGAGGTAGGTGCCATGGTTATATCCACAGATTTATTCAGGGTTGTCAGTTCTAGACAGAGCTTTGTATTTGAACTGAGGACAGCTGAAGTTATTCGCTGAGTCAATAACATATTTCTCAGCTGTAAGCAGGAGCATAAATGCCCCGATCAAGGAACGAGATGACATTGGATAAAAAATAACACCCGAGGAAACATCAAAAGGGGAAAAGATGCAGGAAAATACGATATAGGAGCTTGGACTGGAAAAGACGGTGCTCAATGGCTCGATGCGATTACAGAGATGAACTAATTGATCTGTCAATCACTCACCTCTTCAGAGAGTTTCCCTTTTTGATTAAACGACATTCTGCGGTATGAGCCGAAAATTGACAACTTGCGCGTGATGGTAGAACGATCAAACTCCTGCTCTTTCTTCTTCTTCTCTTCCTCAGCGGCTTCTTCCTTCTCTCTCATTTTCTGTCGTTCCTTCTCCTCCTGTGCTCTTGCCATTCTACTGATCTGTCGGCTCAGCTTTCTGGAAGTTTCGCTCCTGGCGTCCATCAGTTTACTGGCGACTCCAGAAAACGATGCTTGACGCTGCAACCGCCTTGTCTTACTCGACACCTGAGTGAAGACTGGGTTTGACTACGGAGGATAATAAAATAATCAATCAGTTCACTTCCAAACAAGTCATGTGACAGACCAGTTTAGTCAGTGACGTCACAGTATCGATATCGGAGAGAAAAGTCAGCAGTATACTCGGTCTTGTATCGATTTTTAAAACCAGTCACCGTATCAGCCCATCCCAGAGACCATACTGCAGAAACCATTTAGATCTCTATCTCCATCTTTAAAAAGGATATGAATTTTCGCTTATACCACGTTTCGAGTTTCCTAAGAGTATCGCAACCGTTCAATAGACTTTAATTGAATTAAGAAATCAACCAGGGTCGCCGCCGCATTGAAAAATCCTTAGTAACCTAGCCGCACGCGCGGGATCTGAATGCACGATTTGCAAATAGCTGCTGCAGTGACACACGCACGACCCACAATTCCCAATTTTATTCCGGCCGGCGCTCGAAACGTTAGCATTTGACGATTCCCAGTTTACTCAAATACTTTGAGCTAATAACCAGCCAATTCATTCTATTTCCTTTTTCATGCTATTTAAAATCATCTTTATCTCAAGTGTCATACTTCGCACCTAATTTAATGAATAAGGGATTGCTTTCTACGAGTCTCCTCTCTGCGTTTCGCCTTGTTTCCTCGCTCTCGTAACACCAAACTGTTAAATTAATTAAAAGCTAAACGGTATAATAGACCAAACGATTGATGTTGATCATAGCTCATTCCAGAGCGCGAGAAAACGTCTTTTTTAACAGTACGTGAGAAAATCTCATTTTCACAAAGCTAAAAATTCAATTAGCTCAAAGCCCGAAAAGTGACACCGACCTGACACTTTTCACTGTAAGAGACACAAATGTGAATATTACTGAAACCATGTTTGTTTAACAATCATCTGGGCAAAGGTTTGTATATTAGATTTTAATTGAATTTTCAGTGCGATAAATAGCCTAAGTTCCCATTCGATTGATTTACATTGCGTGGCAATCGTGGAGGTATTCGATGGACAAATTCAATGGTAGACATATCACCAACATGGGTCATAGCTACTCAAAACGTTCCAAATCACCGGAGAGTTGTTGATATACATTTATGGAAACTTGGAAAGTTCTTGATTGTTTTACAAGGCGGTTTTCCTTTTACTGCATGTGACTTGCACAGTCAAGGTCATAATTCTAAATAGAAATTTCATTACTTAATTATACTTGATTAGCTAACACAGCCGATCCGAAGACGTTACGATCAAGAATTTCCACGAATTAAGCGAGAAGATCTTTTAGTTTTCACTCTTGAACTTAAATTATGTTTTCTACAAGATCGATTCACAAAAGTATTGTCTCAAGACGCGATGAGATGGTTTCGTAATAACAACATCACGTTCTTCACATAATGCTCTTCACAGTACCTTACTGATCCTGGAACTGGACAATAAACGCGGCGACAATGTATACCCTCTTTTCCGTGCAACGATCATAGTGATTTCACCAGTAATTAGCACACAGAGACGAAGTGAAAACCAGACGTTCAAATATTTTGCTCTCTTCCGTTTAAGTGCCCAACTGTCGCATTCTCGAAAGCGGCGAGACAGAAAAAGTAAACAAAGATGCTAATAAACCGGTATTAATCCTTCTCCATTGTATAAGCCAGTGTGCGTGTCGAATTCGATGAATGTTCACAGCATTCGATGTAAAGAGGAAATTTATCAAACCGCTGAACAAATTCAAGAATGAAAGTTGAAATTCTCTAAGCACAAGCTGCTACTTTTTAGCAAAAGTTTAACCGACTGCAGTTTCAGGGTTAAGGATCAAAACCACTGTTTTGTTACATTTTATTAAAAGTTCCCAGTTTCATTTGTTTATTTAATTACCGGATTATGTCCTCTGAGGCCACTAATTCAAGAGTTTTGTTTAAGAGAACTAATTTTTATTGTACATAATTCCAAATATTTCTCAATAGAAGAGGCAACGCGGGGGACCTTCGGCAAAATAGGTCTCTAGATACAACAAGAGAATACTCATCTCTGTTCAATCAAAAGCTTAGAATAGGAGTTTTTTTTTTTTTTAATGCAACAAGAGATACTTATCTCTCTTCAATCAAAAGCTTAGAGCAAGAGTTTTAGCAGCCTGAAAAATAGACGTCGTTTTTAGCTTTTACTCAGGCGAGCGCTACAAACCACGCACTTTCGGCAACACTGTTTTGAATTACATGACGACAGGAACCCATAATGGGCTCCTGATAACGATAATACAATTTTCTCTCGAAAAGGATTCTTTGAGTTACCGAATCAAATGGGGAAAAAATCTAATAATAAAGGCCAACGATGAAGATTCCCTAATTTCCTTTCTCGTCCCAAAACTGATTAAACTATCTAAGCATTCATAGTCTCAGTACTAACAAAAAATTTCCCATTTTCCTTTGTTTCTCCGAGTTAGCGTCGAGAATCCGGTTTGCACAACGGATTTACACGATAGTTTTATCTCTCGTTTGCTAAACCGCTGGTCATGAATATTGAAGTTACTGCTTCCTCTTTTTATTTGCTGAATACAGACTGCAGCCGTATCTGCGCATCGTATCGATCGCATAAGGAGTACACGAAAGACGAAAACAATTCGAACGAGACCATTAATATGTTTTTCGTAACCGAAAAAAAAAGCCCTCCCTCTTAAAGGTTTGTTTCTTTAAAAGTCAAGCCTAATAAACGAAAAAAAAGAAATCAAAGTTTGGATTGTTCAGTGCGACGTTTTGTTCCTCCATATTTTTGTTCTGTTCTACATTGTAATACTGTGGCATATTTTACGCTTTCTAGTGACATTGTTATGGGATAATATACAGCAACGTGCTTCTCTTAATAAATTTAGTGTCTATATGCTGATATTTAACTTCCACCAGAGTGCACTGGGCGTCACAGACCACGAATCACACACACAAAAAATATATCTCAGAGCCAATGAGAACCCGAGGTGAAAACAGACAAACGGTTTAATTTTGCAGCCGATTGGTTGGGACTGGACCAATCAGAGGGCCTTGTTGACTAAAAACCAAATCTAATCTCGGATTTCCTTCTTAACTCAATCGAAAATTGCCCTAAATAGACAGGTCAAGTGTATTAGTCCCTTAACGACACAGTGCACCTGGTACCTTCCTTTTAAAGAACA